CTATTTCAATAGCATATTCCAAGGAAGGTTCCCTTTGAGAATTCTACAGAAGGAAGAAAGCACAATTAAATGAATACATGAATCATTAGTACAGTAAAAGAATAATACAAACTGGCCACATGGGGTTTCTCTTGGGATCACAAGGAAGGTTCAATAGGAAAACTATAAATTTACTATATGAAAAGAATACATTTACTATATCAATTTTCTACCCTATATACATTTATCTATCTTTATAGAACAAAATCCAACATTCCCGCTTTCAAGAGATGTAGTATTGGAACAATGGCTACCTTCTTATGGTAAATCAAACCAGCTCTATATCCAAAGTTAAAATACTAGAAGCAAAGCATACGCTCTTTAATGTCAGAAGGCAGCCACCACCTCCATTCTTTAGCAGTACATTCATTAATATAGTGAGTAATTAAGCAAAAAAAAAAAAGAGAAAGAGAGGGAAGAAGGGAGGAAGGAAGGAAAAAATTTGCTGAACAAGCACCTAAATTAAAGATCAGCCAGCTTTTTCTATAAAAGACCTGAGAGTAAATATTTTAGACTTCACAGGCCATATAGTCCTTGTCTCAGTACTCCACTTAGAATGCAAAAAGAACCATAGACAATAATAAGGAAATGGACATGGCTGCACTGCATCCAGTAATTTCTATTTACAGACACTGACATTTTAATTTCATACAGTTTTCAGATGTCACAGAGTATGTTTATTTTTCACCCAGCCATTTCTAAATGTAAAAACCATTAGTAGCTCTTGGTCTGTACGAAAATAGGTGGGCCAGATTTGATGACCCTGCCCTAGATCACTTTAACAGTAATTAAGTCCAGGAAGTAGAACTTGGGTGTGTGTGTGTGTTTGTGTGTGTGTGTGTGTGTCTTTGGGGGTGGAGTGATCAGAGAAAGGTGATGCTGGTGAAGGGGAAGAGAATTTTACTTTTTATTTTGACACAATTCCACACTCTAAAAATGTTTTACCATAATCATGGATTAATTATACAATTTTAAAAACCTAACTATTAGATTAATATAATCTCTAATGGCCTGTTTTCCTATTTTTTGGCATGATAAGGTAAGGGGTTTTACAGAGAAACTATAAAGAATCATCAAATTATAAAAATGTTAAATTTTAAAACAGCATTTTTATTTCTCTCTTTTCCTTTTTCTCTCAGGAAAAAAAAAAAAAGGGGGGGTGGGGGACCTGCTCTCTTTAGCTGTTAATTATACTCCTGTAAAGAGAGTAAACCTGAGGAATTTCTATTTGTTTTATATCTAATCTGCAAGCCTCACTGACCTTTCATCAAGAACAATGGTGCACACACAGTTCCTACATTTATACCCGTTCCTTCCCCACTCTCGCCACCATTTTTTTTTTTTTCTGGGTGTTGAACTCCAGCCAAACATTAAATTACCTTGGGAAGCAAAAGGTAGACGAGAAAAAAGCACAAAGGTGGTATTTGGCCTCATTCTATGAGGACACTCAATCTTAATTTAGAGAAAGAAAAGGGACACTTTTTTTTTCAGTGTGAGAGCATGAGAACTGGAAAGAAGCACGGATTTTTCAGACAAGGCTGTTTTTTAAGTTTGCAGGTGGACTGTGCTCTTGTTTCAACGCAGGTGAGGCTGTAAATAAGGTGCGTGTGTGCCTGTATGTGTCTATAAATCCACACCCATTTTTAACCAGAAATATCCAGAATACACTTCCAGCAAGAGCACTGACAAGTTCAGGTAAGCAAGCAAAATTTCCAGATTACTTAATCAGTGGTCAAGCTCAGTTATATTTAAAGGATCAAATTATCGCTGTACAAAAGTGAGGTCTTCAGTAAAGCAGATGGCAAGTTCAATGAAATGATATTTTTCTTCTTTTAATGAACTGGATTTCCTTTGTTGGCTTCATACTTTTATTCTTTATGTGTATTAATGATATTATAATAAACTAACATTCACCAAAAGTGACCCTTTAAAAATTATGCTGCAAGTAAGTTGTTCCTCCCTGTTATTTTTTTATTGATGTATAGTTGATTTACAATGCTGTGTTAATTTCAGCTGTACAGCAAAGTGATGCAGTTATATATATATATATATATATATATTTTTTTTTTTTTAATATTCTTTAGGGGCCCTCTTCCCCAGGAAAGAACACAAAGGAATGGAGTGGGAGTTTGGGGTTAGCAGATGCAAACTAGTATATATAGAATGGATAAGCAACAAGATCTTACTATATAGCACAGGGAACTATATTCAATATGCTGTGATAAACCATAATGGAAAAGAATATTAAAGAAGAATGTAAAATCTCACTCCCAGTTTTCTTTTATAGAGAATTTTTACATAATATTTAAGTAAATGACTTACGTTAAATTACTTTTGAAAAGTGAAATACTGTGTCAGAAAATGCTAACTATCTGTGTTTTTAACACCTAATTGTAGGGCAATGTGAGCTGCTCCAGGCCATGACCGTGTCGTATTCATCTGTGTCCCCCAAGCTTTACCCACGCATCTGATACTATAGGATCATAACTAACTCATGTTCTGTTTACCAGGGAAATTACTGTTCATCCAAAGATAATAATATATAAATTGATTGGCTTTGTCATAGAATATATTTACTATCTATTTTACAATTTATCAATGTCAAACAGAAAAACAATATTTTGATTTTTAAGTAGAACAATCTGACAATAATACATAGTAACTTGAAATTTGAAAAAAAATTCAGTTCCTATTCATTCTGAATTTGGCAGCTTTAAAGTAAGAAGATGGTGAAGTTATAATTTCTCTCTTTTGATATAGAGTCTACCTACTAATCTCTGTCTCTCTCATAAAGAACTTTTCCTAATGTTTCCTCCAGATTAACTTTTTCTTAACTCTTGACTTCTGGAGATCCCTCGGAGAATCTTAAGGCAATTAGGGGCTCTCTTCCCCAGAAAAGAGAACAAAGGTACATAAAATTTTACATACAATTCAGGGATTTTTGAGACCCAATAGCTCAATCATAGACCTTCTAGAAGCTCAGTGGACCCAAGTTAAGACCCTACCCTAGATGGTTGCTTCAATTTTTCCACTGCAACTTTCACTCTGACAGAGTCTGCCCTCCGCACATTGGACTTTGTGTTCCAGAGTCAGCTGTCTTTATCCCCTACTGAAATCTACCCTTTCTTTGTTTCAGTTTTTATGGTACAAGATGATGCCCATAAGGTAAAAGATGGCATGCTGAAATGTTTCACAGTATTAACAAGTTATAGGAACTTAAACTGCGACCCTTATCAGCACCATGGTTATTGCTTAACAGGGTTTCTCAATACAAAATAATGTAAAAGTGGGTCCCTTGCAGATTAGGAAAGAAAATAATTTAAATAGGACCAAACTAACCATTTTCAATCCAGGAGAGGGATGTACTGCTGGCTAGATAAAGATACTAAAATGAGAGGAATGAATTTTAAATAGGGCAGGGTTGTAAATTTAAGGGCAAAAAGCTGAGTAAATGATGGAAGGATAAAGAAGATAAGCGACTGTAGAGAAACTGAAGAACAAGAACCTCCATATTCTGTTTTTCCTCAGTTCTAATCTAAGCAGTATTTGTTCATGCCTAATCTTACTGTCTTGGCAGAGTTAAAATGTCATTTTAATCTATCAGATCAAGAAGAATCAAAGGTCAAAGAATATTTATGCATGATGTCACCTTTCCATTGCACTTAGCAGTTGCAAGGCCTTTAATCAATATCATCTTATTTGAGTTTTAATTCAGTTCCATGAGCACTAGAATACCATCAGAAGTAGGCTTTGGGTGCCCTGGTCCAGTTCTCTTTCAACTTCATTGTACCGCTCCCAGGATGCCAGGAATGTGGCTTTTCATCAAGTGGACATCTATTGAGTTGAGTGTATTTTTACAATAATTTAAAAATAAAATGTGAAAGTTCTAGGTGGTTGTACCATGTCAATTCACACAAGCAGAGAAATCTGGCAGCATAGGTTTGGTCTCTTAACAAATGTCTTAATGACAGCCTGAGGTAACCTACCAGATTCTGACAATTATTTTTTATCATCCAGCTGCTTCTGAGGGATTCTTGAGAAGATACGATGTTACACTCAGCTTTGGTCGTCTGTCTCTTACTCATCACGGTTTCTTCTAACCTTGCCATCGCAATCAAAAAGGGAAAAAGACCTCCTCAGACACTCTCAAGAGGTACTGGAATCTCATTTTATTTTCTGAACTCAGTCATTTGGATTGTTTTAAAATTCATCATCTCTTGCCCGTAGTCTAGTTATAAAGCCAACTCAATTAACTGAAATTTTTTGTTGTGTATCACTTTAAAATAGGAGAAAAAAAAAAAAAAAACCCAACAGAGAGGATCAGTTAATTTTAAAGAGTGAGCCAAATGAAATGAAAAACAACAATTTGCTGCATCTTCTATAGAAATAGTGGAGAACTGGTTTCATTGCCTATAACTTTGGTACCCAGAGTCCTGCAAAATGCTATTGATTGATATGTTATATTGATATCCTAAATGCAATCAGGATTCCCTCAAAATCTGTTCCAGTGCCCTGTCCTCTCTTTATTCAGGCAAGAAAATAATTTGGAATGATTTTACACTGGGGTCCCCAGAAATTTATACTTTATCTCCACCCTCCAAGAATTTTGGTTAACCAAGTGTTTGCTATGCTGACTCCAGAAAACAGCTGCAGTATTTTTAGAGGACATAATCTAGATTTGTCATTGGCTACATTGAAAACATTTCTATTTTGTACCAACTGTTTTACTTTGGCCTGAGAAACAATTATATCTTCATCTGCAAAGAAATAATTCATAAAGAAAATTCTCAGAATTGATTCCTACATTTCCAGCTACCAGAAATGGAAAGGAAATCATTTGTCTCCAAATATCTAATTCTAAATTAGTAACACAAACCAAGAAACACTTGACTTGTACTTGGAATGGTAAATGTGACTGGAGCAAACAAATGGAGATCAACTATAGCATAATTTCAAATTTTAAAATATTGACTTTCTTTCCAAGTTAATTCGTTCCTTAACAGATGTATTGGGTGCCAGCCAATTGCCTGTCACTGTTCAGCCAAGATAATGAATTCTACTTCAGTTTAAAATCACAGAAACTATAAGTCTAAAAAAATCGGTAAGTTTTTGCAAAATAAATAAAAGAGGGAAATATTTTCCTAAGTGTAATTTATCATGTACCTCCATATATACATACAACAGTTATAAAGCAATGAACTCAGTAGCCTTAAAGTGCCAAAGATCAAACTCACTGCCCTTAAAGACCCCCAAGGGCTGAGTTAAGCAGCATGCTGTAACTATAATTAAGGTACCAACATTCTGTGTATTCACTTCCAAATGTCCATTAAAACTATTCGGTGAATTTTATGAAAAATATACTCAATACGTACAATAAATTTTAAACAACGTGATGAGTCTGTTATTTCAGTTAAACTATTTCAATAGAGGAGATGACTGATAGCAGCTGGGAACTCCATTATTCAGAAATGGTTTGCATTTGGTTAAGCCTTTATCTTCTACTGGCACACAGAAAACAACTGAGAATGAGGATTTAAGGTAGGGGTGAAAGGGAAATTTGACTACAGTGTACCAAGTAGCATATGGAGCCCCTTAGAGTGCAGAGCAGCCCCAGTTAAACAGAGACAGTGTTAGGGAGAAAAGGGAGTATTAATTGGAAAAAGGTAAGAAATGGTTCAATAAAAAAGTGAACCCCAAATCTTAACTTCCTTTTAAACCAAAACTGTTCTGTGTCCAGCACCTGGTCCAGTGCCTGGCATACAGTAAGTACTCAATAAATACATACTGGAGAATGAATAAAATCTCAGAAGATAAGTAAGCATAGCCAGTAATGGATTAGGAATTAGGAATCATGATAATGAACAGAGAACAATAAGACTGTATTGTCTTACCTGCATACACCCAGTGCTAAGTGGAGCAAGGCATATAGCAGATGTTCCTTCAATATTTGTGGAACTAAGTTAAACAGGAGCAGAGAACAGTAATCCTTCCCACTGCTGACATTCTGGCATTGAATGATATTTGCAACAGAATAGGGAAATTAAGTAGGAACCCAGTCTCACTGGCTGTTTCCAAAATAACTTTTATCTAATGCAAAACGTGGCATAAACTCGCTACATGTGTTTGAGCAAAGTTGTAAAGAAAGTCTTTCAGGGTTATTACAGATAGGAAGTAGTCCTGCTAAGGTTGGGGTACTAAGCTAAGGTAAGATGTCTTCCAATGTTAGGATTCTAAGGTCAGGCAAAAACAAACCAACAACACTTCTGGTAAGAGTGCAAAATAATGCACTCACTTGGAAAAACTGTCAGAAAGTTAAAGTTATAGTTACCATTTGATCCAGCAATTCCACTTCTAAGGATTATACCCAAGAAAAATGAAAACATATATTCACACTGAAGTTTGCACTCAAATGTTCATAGCAGCATTATTCATAAAATCCAAAAAAACTAGAAACAACCTAAATGTCCATCAACTGATAAATGGATAAACAAAATGTGGTATATCCATAAAATGGAATAATATTTAGCCCAAGAATGAAGTCCTAATACATGCCACAACATGGATGAACCTTAAAATCATCGTATTAAGTGAAAGCATCCAGTCATAAGATACATCACATCTTGTATGATTCCACTTATATGAAATGTCTGGAATAAGATAATCTATAGAGACAAAGTAGATTAGCCATTTCTTAGGGTTGTAGGAGATGAAAGAATTGCGTGGTGATAACTAAAGGGTACAGGGTTTCTTTCTGAAGTGATGAAAATCTTCTAAAATTGATTGTGGTGATGGTTGCACACAATGTAAATATATTTTAAAAAATGTGTATACTTTCAATGGATGAACTGTACTGGCATATGAATTATATTTGAATAAAGTTGTTATTAAAAAACAAACAAACCAAAACCCAGCAGGCAAACATCATGGGATCATATTTATCCTGCTTCATAATTCTGCTGCATAAGTCCTGGACATCTTTAAGCCATGGTATCAAAACCAGGAACTCCAGTCTGACAACATATGAAACTTATGAAAAAATCTGGGTCCAAAATAGCCTGAAACTATCTCTATTTTCAAATTAATTCAACCTTTTTCATCCATAGACTGAGACATTTCCTGAAAATACTTTGAAATATTTCTGGATGTTTTGTGCATTCTTCTCTTCAATGGTCTTATTCTTCCATCTCTAATACACATCCCCAACTACTCACATCATTTCTTTAAAGGCTAGTGGGGGGACTTCCCTAGTGGCGCAGTGGTTAAGAATCCGCCTGCCAATGCAGGAGACACGGGTTCGATCCCTGGTCCAGGAGGATACCACATGCCGTGGAGCAACTAAGCCCTTGAACCACAACTACTGAGCCTGTGCGCCACAACTACTGAAGCCCGTGCGCCTGGAGCCTGTGCTCCGCAACAGGACAGGCCACCATAAGGAGAACCCTGGACACCGCAACGAAGAGTAGCCCCCGCTCGCCACAACTACAGAAAAAACCATGTGCAGCAATGAAGACCTGACGCAACCAAAATAAATAAATAAATAAATAAAATTGATTCTTTAAAAAAAGAAAAGCTAGTGGGTTCTCGCTCTACTCGTTGTGTTCTGTTTCCCTCTCCTCCACTCTTTTGGATGCTTCCAAAACAAGGGTTTTATTGAGTCTCTCAACCATGAAATTCCCACGCCAGAATTTTTTTCCCTGTTAAAACTCAAAGCAAAATTTGAAATTCCTTTTCTTCAATGATGTGTTATGACTTTGAAGGAGTCAACATCTCTTGACACTCAAGATTCAAGGACGCTGTTCAGTATAGCCCAAAGTATTCCCTATAGATTTACAAAGTATGCAAAGATTAACTGTTATTTCCTCCTGTACATTCTGAAAGTCAGAGCTCTTGCGTGGTCCAGAGATGTCCTTTCAATCACCACTAATCATAATAGCATCTACTGAACACTTACTGGGTTCAAGGCCATGGGCCTTGAGATTTAAAACATAGTCACAAAACCTCAGTAATATCACCTGAAAGGACACAACCTCTTTGTATCTAGTTATAATTATGTACCCTCTATACCTTATGTCAGACAACTGCTTGGTAGCTTAAATATCTGTAGATAGATACCTGCTTATCACACCCCCAATTCAGAACTCTTTGGTAGTCCTGAGTTAACACATTGATTTCTCTCTTCTGTTTAGGATGGGGAGATGACATCACTTGGATGCAGACCTATGAGGAAGGTCTCTTTCATATTCAAAAAAGGTAAAACACCTCTCAGTTAACTTTGACAGATGATACAGATACCTCCTCATAGGAGAGCCAAACACTAGCATGTTAGCTTTTCAGAGGATACAATAAGAATTTGCTCTGATATTGTATGTTGTTTGGACTGAGTTGCTATTAGAATTTTTTTATAAACAACAGCTCTAGACACTTTTGTATTAATTTCTTAATTATCCAAGCAAGCTTTTTTATCTGAGGAATAACTGACTTAACATTATATTAGTTTTAGGTATACAACTTAATGATTGGATATTTGTATATATGCAAAATGAATACCACAATAAGTCTAGTTAACATCCATCAAGCAAACTTTGAATATAAATTGTATAAACAAAACAGCATCACTCACTGGGCATTATACAAGCTTAAACGGGAACGTGACTTATAGCAGCGCTTCTCAAAGCTGTCTGATCATCAGAACAACTCAGAGAGCTTTTTTAAAAATCTGTATTCAGGGTCAACTACTTACTGAGTATCCACTTCTATGTGCCAGGCACTCAGTGACCAAGAGTGATGTGATTTACTAAAGATCTACTAAATTTTGGGCGATGGAGCTGAGAAACTTGTACTTTTAAAAGCAGCCCAAGAATTTATCAAATATCTAAAGAATGTTCAATTCAACTCTCTGAAGAAAAAGAAAAGATTCCAAATAAGAATTGGCTAAAACACTCTCAACACCAGACAAATATTAAAAAAAAAAAAGAAGTCTACAGAATAATCTTATTTCCAAATAGAAATGTAAAAAACAAACAACATATTAGCAAAGAGCAGACAGCAGAACACTGAAGAATATACCCTGATAAAGTGAGATTCAGTCTGGGAAAGCCAAAAGATTCAAGATTAAGAAATCTATTAATTAAAATAATTTAATATTTATAAGGACACAAATCATACAAGTATCTCCTATCTCCACAAATGCTAAAAAAGCATTTAATACAATGCCAAATCCATATTTGAGGTTAAAAAACTTATCCATCCCAGCAAAAAAGTCAACATCATGCTTACTGAGGAAAAAAATTAAAGTATCCCACTGATGGATTCTTTAATCACCACAATTACTAACATTGTTCTGGAGATACTAACCAATGCAATTAGATGAGAAAAACAAAGGAGAGAGTGAAAGAATCCTCATTTGCAGCTGATGACTGTGTTTGTGAAAAACTTGAGAATCAGCCCAAAGTATCAGAACTATGAAGATTCAGTTAAATTAGATGAGACTAAATTAATACCTAGAAATCGACAGCATTTATATATATATATATATATATATAATCAAAATAGTTAAAGGCACTTATAAAATACCTTATATAAAATAGCAGTAAAAAAAGATGAAATATCCCAGGATAAACTTGAAAATGTACAAAATCTGTATGAACTAAATGCACTAGTGAGGAAAGAAATTACAAACATATGTGAAGGGATATCATGTTCTTGGATAGGAAGATTCAACATCGTAAAAATGTCAATCCTCTCTATAGCTAAAAAATGTGTTAAGACAATCACAATATATTAGTACAAGTTTTTAAGTGATTTTAAAATTGAAATGGAAACATAGACAGACTTAAATAGGAACATTCTGAGAAGAAATCAGTGGGGACTAGCCCTTAATCAATATGAAATATTTTAATAACACAGTATGTTACCGGTAAATGAACTGAATAGAATGGAGAGAACAGAAAAGTGGATACTACAGAAATTGTTTACATGATTAAGTGGCATTTTGAATCAGGAGTGTGAGAGATAGAGTATGTAAAATAATTGTTAGAATTTGATAGCCATTTGTGAAAAATAAAAAAATTTGGATCTATACCTCACATTTTACATCAAAATAAATTATAAAGATTAATTATAAGGATGAAACCATTAAGGTACTAGAAGACACTATTACAAAACTGTTATTTCTTTAAATTCTTGGAGTAGGGTACAATTAGGGCGAGGCATGAGGGATGTCTAGGACGCAAAAACAAAGCACTTAATTTTTGTGCCCTAGATGTTACTCTTGCCTCACCCTAGTCCTCCTTTAGAGTTGAGTATGGCCAAATGAAAAAAAAAAAGAAGAAAGAAAAATCCTAAAATAAATGACTAATATTTTTGATTATGCAAATTTCTGAAAACCAGAAATTTATCATAAGCAAACAAAAAAGGCAAAAAATACAAAACAAACAGAAAACTATAGCACATATTACAAGAGTGAATTTCTCTAATATACAAAGTACTCATATAAATTAATAAGAAAAAGGTCAAGTCAATGACCTTGAAAAAATGAACATAAGAAAGATAGTACACAGAATAAAAAAATAAGTAACCTAAACATATGAATAAGATTATTTTTTACAGCCTTATTGAGATATAATTTACATAAACATTGTGCAAATTTAAGATGTAGAATGTGATGATTTGATGTATGTATATATTGCACAATGATGACCACAATAAGGTTAATTATCACCTCACATAGTTAACATGTGTATGTGTGTGTGTGTGTGTGTGTGTGTGTGTGTGTGTGTGTGTGTGTGTGTGGTGAGAACTTTTAAGATGTACTTTCTTATCAGCTTTCAAGTATACCATACAGTATTGTTAACTCTGGTCATCATTAGATTCCTAGGACTCACTCATCTTATAACTGGAAGTGTGTACCCTTTGAGCACCTTCACCCATTTTCCCCACCTCCCAATCCCCCACCCCAGGAAACCACCAATCTACTCTCTGTTTCTATGAGTTTGGTTTTTACTTTTTTATAAATTCCAGATTCTACATATAAGTGAGATCATATAGTATTTGTCTCTGACTTATTTTACTTAACATAATATGCTCAAGGTTCATTCACGTTGTCACAAATGTACTGAGAGTCACTTAGGTTGCTTCCATGTCCTGGCTATTGTAAATAATGCTGCAATGAATATGGGGATGCAGATATCCCTTTGAGATAGTGAAATAGTGATTTCATTTTCTTTGGGTATATACCCAGAAGTAGAATTGCTGGATCATATGGTGACTATTTTTTATAAGAAAGTAAAACCACATTAACTTCGCTCTTTCACCTACTGGATAAAAGAATTAAAAGCTCAATAACCAGTTTTAGTGAGAGTAAATACTTACCTCTCACATTATCAGAGAGAATATAAATTGGTACAGCTTCTAAGGAAAGTATATACAGTGCATCAAAATTATAAATGCACATACTCTGACGCAGAAACTCCACTTCTGGAAATTTATTTACAAATATACCCACCCATGTGCAAAATTATATGTAAGTAACATCATGTTCACCAAAGCATCTTTTTAAATGTCTGAAAACAATCTAAACATAAAAGATTGAAAAGAATTTAAATATCTATTTTGAGGAGACTAATAAAGATGATCCATATAATGGAATACTATACAAAAGCACAAGGGAATAATATCCAAGATATACGATTATGCTAAAAAAGCCAAATGCAAATACATGTGTATAGCGTGCTAGTATTTGTATTTTTAAAAAAGGAAGGATATATATATACATATGGACATGCATATGAACATACACAATTCATAATCATATACATTTACATACGTATATACACAAGCATATGCATATGCACATGTGTATTTTGTTATAAGACCTGAAAAACTCTGGAAGCAAACTTAGAAAATGGTAACACTGCTTACTTCTTGAAGGCAGGATGGGAGAAAGAATTTTTACTTTTTTAACTTTTGAATTTTAAACCATCTGAATTTGTAACTTATTTTCAATTAAAAACATGTAGAATTTTAAAAGATAATTCACCAAATGATGCTGATAAGCAGCTAGGCTTGGAAGGCTCTAGTTTTAGAGCATCTCAGAAGTACAGCTCCCCAAAATTTTTACTCTTTCTCTCACTCGAGTTTCTCATAATCTGATGTGCTAGTTCATAAGATTTTTTTCCCCCAATTTAAAATGCTTTTTTTAAATTTTTTTTAAAATTCTTTTCCTATTTAGGTTATTACAGAATATTGAGCCGAGTTCCCTGTGCTATACAGCAGGTCCTTGTTGGTTATCTATAGTAGTGTGTACATGTCAATCCCAAACTCCCAGTCTATCTCTCCCCCGACCCTTCGCCCCTGGTAACCATAAGACTAGGGACCACCTGTTTTATTGATAATTTGGTCTGTGAGCTAAGGATGATTTTTACTTTAAAAGAATGTTTTTAATCAAAAGAAGAATAATATCTTGTGACACATGGAAGTTACTTGAAATTCAAATTCCAGTGTTATAAATTAAGTTTTACTATAACACGGCCACTCTCACCTTGTTGCATATTGTCCATGGCTGCTTTCATGCAATAACAGCAGAGGTGAGCGGTTGTGAACAAGACCACATGGGCTGCAAAACCTCAAATACTTACCATCTGCATGAGCCCTTTTTTAGGTGTTCCTAATTCAGTGTCTGCCAGAAACAGAAGTTTTTCCTAAAACGGATTACTGTCTTGGTTTGACTGTCTGAACAACCCATTCAAAGCTGAACTATTAAGACTGAGTATTCTGTGGTCTTGATACATTTTTCCTTGGACTCCAGTTGGCCAGAAATCTGATGGAGAAATTAGTTTTCCAAGAGTTACATCAATGTCTTTCCTTACACAGAGCTATCCTTATTTCCAGCTGTTGTGCTGGGAAGAAAGTGTAGCAGTTCAGGAAATCAGAATGACTCATGCCCCTGAATTGTTCTGCATCACAGGACACCTCTATCTACCTAAGTGCAATCAGAGAAAAAGTTATCTAGTAAAAGAATTTCTACTTGGTGCTTAGGAGGTCTAAGTTCTGTATGTGTCTCTAAAGAAATGTCAATGAATATTCTTAGGCTCGGTTTTCTACTAATTAAAAAACGTAATAATATTTCATTCATTGGATATCTAATCTGCTCTTTCACCAGTAAATGTGAAGTTGTTGGCAAATGTTAGCTTTCTATGTTATAAGTTTTAAGAGATAAGTTGTAGGATTTATTCTTACCTAAAATTAACTTATATTCTAAGTTTGAGGATTAAATGAAATTATTTACACTTCAAAGTGTGTTATTTAACACTTTTGAGACTAAAGTTTGAAAAAACAGGATTATTCAGTAACAAGTATTTCATACGATTACGTCTGTTGTTTTTAAAAAGATTTATGCTTGATACGTATACACTCGTCTATCTCTTTTCGTACCTAGCATCCTTGCAAAATTAAAGAAACATTTTTAAAAACATCTTATATACCCAAGTCATAATTATTTTGTCCTTCACTGTAGTTAACATTCTAATTTTTCTCGTATTCTAAACAGCAGGGTGGTCAATGAGCTACCACCAAAACTTTTCTTCAGAGAGTTAAAATCAAAATGACACTGAAAAATATATAGGAAGGGAAGTCTCCCTGAGACTATTGGTAATTGTAAGTTGTGATAAGAATAAAAGGTTGTGAAAATGGTCAAATATTAATAGACTTTTTGAAAAACAAACAAAAAACCTAAGTAAAAACTTCGACAATTCCAAAATTTTATACCAGATGTTCATTGGAAATGAATACTACCTTGATCATAATATCCTTTCATCTATGGAGACAGAATTGACTTTTATTTTTCTAACTGTACTACAGCATACATAAGAACGACCTGGTAAACTTGTTAAGCTAAGGATTCCTGGACCTCACCCCCACAGATGCTGACTGAGTGGGCCCAAGAGGGAGCCTGAGAATTTACATTTCTAATGAGCTACATTTCTGATGACGCTGATGCTTCAGTGCTGAGGCAATGTTATGACTAACAGGACTACAGACTACAGCACTGTGATTTGTCAGGCTGAGATGTTTACTTTATGTCTCATAGAAAGTATGAGAATCTTAAATCTAATTTCACTGTACATTTTGACTCAAATTAATCACTTGGCTCAATTCCACACTCTCTCTGTTTAGTAACAAGCCACTGATGGTTATTCATCACTTGGAGGACTGTCAATACTGCCAAGGTAATTTTTGCTCCTGAGATCTTATTGTATCTCCAGTATGAAGTAGGAAAGTGACCTGGTTACAAATTGTTAAGAAGGCACTCAGGAAACACTATTCCAAAAAAAAGGACAACTGCTAGAGTACCACCATTTTACTACGGTGCTTAAAGACTACAATGATTGTTAGTAATCTATTGAATATATTCATATTATATGTCCTTTAGAATTTTATATCCTTCTTACTCCCCTGTCCCCCCCCCAAAGAAAGGTAGGAAAAATGGCTGAAAGAAGATGCTGTTTTAACCAATGAGTCAATGAATTACATGACATTGTAAAACTGGTGATTTCATCAATATGATTCTCTCTTGATGTCCTCTTGGATAGACTCTGTCCCTCATTGATTTCCAGTTAGAGACAAAGTGGCAATGGGCCAATGAACTATTTACATCCAAGTTACAGAGGCAAACAAATGCAAAATACTAGCTTAATTTTGCTACATTATATTGAAGGCGTCTTGAAACTAACTGACATTATGTTTTCTCCCACAGCACTAAAAAAAGTGTTTGCCCAAAATAAAGAAATACAAGAAATGGCTCAGAATAATTTCATCATGCTGAATCTCATGGTACATGACCTCTACAATGTTTTCCTAATATCTCAATTCAGTGGAAAAGCTGAATCTCTTTTTTTGTCTTTTTTTGAAGACAAAAAGAGCTATAAAGTATTAGTGGATATAGAATGTTATATAGAATTGTAAGAGGCCAAAATATACAACTTACTGAAAGCCTTGCTTACATAAAATATTTTTAAATCAACTGTTAAAAACAATCCAATCCAATAACATTCTTTTTTTTTCATCTTTTTCCTAGCATGAAACCACTGATAAGAATTTATCACCTGATGGACAATATGTGCCTAGAATCATGTTTGTGGGTAATTGTATAATCTCTTTCCATCAGATTTAGAAAATCAGTAGCCTTCTTGCTTTTATTTACTTTTAAATGCTAGTTCAAGTACTATTCCTTTTAAAGGGAAGTCATTAGTAACCCAGTCAATAACAGTTCTTGTTAGGTCAACAATCAAACTCATTATATCTATAACTTGTAACTTATAAATATTTAATTTTTTAAATTAACCGATGCTATGAAATCAATATTCCAATGTAGTTTCAGTATTGTTCTCTAAACTGTTATATGTTGACAGAGACCTGTGACACACTAAAATGAGAATTCAGATTAACTCACAATGAATTCACATGTATGAAAACTGATTTTGCTTATAAATTTGCTTAACGTTTGTTTTAGAGTAAGAGGCAAGAATGATTTTCAGAATATTTTAAATAATATGTAAGGTACTTATTTTTTCTTGGCAGATCCTTCTTTAACAGTCAGAGCTGATATAACTGGAAGATACTCAAACAGATTATATACATATGAACCTCAGGACTTACCGCTATGTAAGTATTCACAAATTATCTTGAACAGTGTAGCAACACTTGACTGTTAGAAGGGTAAATGATACCCTACATGGGTGCTTCCCCACAAACAGTGCTACCCACACATCACAGTCCCTGGGGCTGGTAGTGGAGATACTGGTTAATATGCAAACTCTTAGCTCCCATCAAAATCAGAATTTCTGGGGCACCTCAGAATCTCTTTTTTCAACAGGGATCTCTAATAGTACTTGTGATCACTAAATGTTAACACCACCAAAAAGAATAGAGTACACATGAAAATTAAACCTTAAGAAAGCCAGTCCATTCTTCTGGTATGAAAGATTATATGCGATTTCCTCAAAGTGATCATAATTAAATCTTTTCTCTTCCTTTAATGCCTATAAGCAAGGAGATACAGTCTGACTTGGGACTTTCATTTTTACAACATTCACTATCAACTATGTTTAAAAAGAGAGCTATGCCTGTCATATCCAGCAATACTGCTACAAAATAATCAGTTAACAAAATAGATACTCCCTCAAAATCCCTTTGATAAAACTTTTTAACATTAAGTTAATTAACCAGCTCTGAATGGTCTAATCCTTAAATTTACATGTACACTTTTAGCATAATATTCTTTAAGGTTGCAGATAAATCCCCAAATCTTTATAGCTGTTAATTTTAATGGGCCAATTTTAGATTCAGGGGTTAATTTTAAAATTTGGTACTCTCATTTACTAATAGAATATATATATTTACTTCTATTACAGTGATAGAAAACATGAAGAAAGCATTAAAACTTATTCAATCCGAGTTATAATGTATTACCTCTAAGAGGTCAAATGTCACGAAGAAAAACTTCTGGCTAATTGACTAATACTAATGGGCGGGTAAATGAATTTTGTAACATTATCATTTAGACTTTTAATGTGTTTGAATATTCTTCGGAAGGTAAAATGATATTTCAATAAATATCAAAACCAGAGCATGACAATATTGTGGTTTGATTTCTGCCTGCATCGCTAGCAAAGAAAGCTTGCTGATAGTTATAGTGGAGACAGGAAGACCTAAATAAGAGGTGTCTACACTGCTTGTTTCTATTTCCTCATCTATCATCCATTCCACCAAGTAAGCTAATCTTAATTCTGATCCCCCTATTATATCGAACCTGCAAGTTTAGGTCATAAATGATCTGCATGTTGCCAAAGCAAATGGATGCACCTCTAGCCACTTATTATTTAACTTTTAGCAGCATAACTTTTAGAGTTAACCATTTATTTCTTTTTTTTCACTTTAAAACAGACACTTAAAAAGTAATTACAATAAATTTAAAATATATTTTAAAACTTTAAATATGTTTTGCTTAATTACTGGGTGGATATTTAACACTTTTAATCATTTTAAGAAGAATGTAACTGCTTCCAGAATATTAAAGAATATCTCCAGTTAACTAGCAGAAGAGGAATCTATCCATTCTGAAATTATTAAACATTCAACCACCAACTCAGTTCTTCACAGGAAGCTTTTGGAGGATCATATCCATGTCTTCTATTCCTTTAAATAACACACACACAAAAATCCTAATTTTTTATAAACAAAATTTCCCTAAACATTTGGAGTAATTCTAATTACTAATGGAAACACCATAATCAGCTGGGAATAATTCTCAGAAACGAGAGAATATTTCAGATGGGAAAATTTTTCCTACTCCATAGGATTGGATTACATTTAAATAATTTGAAGTTTTGAAATATAAAGGTACACTTTTATATGAGACAGATATACAACATCTATGATACTGATGCCTGATTAATTCCAATGTTTCATGAGTCACAGAAAGAAAGATTTCTTCCAAGTTTTATCTGATCATTATTCAGTTCATTTTAAGCAGACTTTTAGCAACTGATCTATTTGGATATAAACAGTTTACAAGACCATCAACACTAGATATCCATGTATCCCCACTGCAAAAGAATATTAAATATCCTATTTTTTTATTTTTTTATTTTTTTATTTTTTTGCGGTACGCGGGCCTCTCACCGCTGTGGCCTCTCCCATTGCGGAGCACAGGCTCCAGATGCGCAGGCTCAGCGGCCATGGCTCACAGGCCCAGCCGCTCCGCGGCATGTGGGATCCTCCCGGACCGGGGCGTGAACCCGTGTCCCCTGCATCGGCAGGCGGACTCTCAACCACTGCGCCACCAGGGAAGCCCCTATTTTTTTATTTTATATCAAAGTTTGAATTTTTTTTTTTTTTTTTTTTTTTTGCTCGACACGGGCCTCCCCTGTTTGTGGCCTCATCCCGT